AAGGATGAAAAGACTATGGAGTAAGCAGTTAATTCTGCAGAGGACAGGTCATATTGCATGTAGTTCCTGCAGATGGGATTTAGAAGTATATGCAAACCACTTTATTCCTCAAGAAATGACTTTTGAGCCAGACAGTGAATACACCTTTAGTTGGAAGGTCTGTTTCCTCAACTGTGTACCCTTAATAATTAAAAGTGTGATGTAGGACATTTTGTAGAAATGTGTCTATTTTCTACTTAAGTTTAATCTTTTGGGTAAAGTAGTAAATTCTGTACATGGAGTATGATTTACCAAGGGATAAAAATTAAGACTAACTCCAGTTCTATCATATGTACTAGGAATGTACATATCTCTCTTGTTTTGAGAGGAGGAAGTATATTTCTGTACTCATTTGATTTCAGATCCCTTTTTTTTGTTAATTCACACCCTTTTGACAGTTTTATGTATCTTCACTCATCACAGCGTGAATACATATTTAGGGTTAAGAAAGTGGTGAGTTTATAAGTCTCAGAAAATAATACATTTTTTAAAAAGTATAAATGAGGGAAGGTTGATTAGTGACATAAAAGAAATTATGACTGTACCAAATGTTTACCATGGCAGTTCATGGTTCCCTGATAACCCCTGCTCTCAGTGATGCAGGTGAAATTAGATTATAACTGATCCATTTTGTGAGCATAATTCAATTTCACTTCCATCAAGGAAGTGAGTTTAATTTAGTAAAAGAAGGAGCTTGAAGAAATAAGTGTAAGATCAGTGTTAACTAGAAAGATAGAAGGAATGCAGCGGAGTAGCTAAGTCATATAATTTGAAAATACTTGGCGAGGAGTCTCTTGATTAGACTGAATACCATGGGAAGAAGAAAGAAAAATATAACTGGCCATTAAATATTTTGTAGAGGTTTCTTTTGCTGGCCATAGAAAAGCAAGGTTGTTATCTGTTTCTTATATTTAGTACGTAATTTTTTCCATCTTTATTTAGTATTCTGTTCTTAATTGAAAGGTCTTTAATATTTTTATCTAATACTGAAATTTAAAATCAATTTCAGAAAAGTCATTCTTTGTAT